GTGCGGGAGCTGGAGATTGTGGTGGTTGATAAGGTGATGGTAGTCCTGGATAGTCATAACCTGGTGTTTTTGATGGTGAGGTCGGTCTTGGGGGAAAAGGTGGTGCGGGAATTGGAGGTTTTGATGGTTGTTGTGGTTGATAAGGTGATGGGAGTCCTGGATAATCATAACCTGTTTTAGGTGGTGAGGGAGGTCTTGGGGGGAAAGGTGGTGCGGGAGCTGGAGATTGTGGTGGTTGATAAGGTGATGGTAGTCCTGGATAGTCATAACCTGTTTTGGATGGTGAAGAAGGCTTTGGTGGGAAAAATGGTGCGGGAGTTGGAGGTTGTGGTGGTGGAAAAGGTAATGATGGTGCTGGATAATCATAACCTGGTGTTTTGGGTGTTGAGGGAGGTCTTGGGGAGAAAGGTGGTACGGAAGTTTTCGATGACGGTGGAAAAGGTGATGGTGCTGGATAATCATAACCTGTTTTAGGCGGTGCGGGAGGTCTTGGGGGGAAAGGTGGTGCGGGAGCTGGAGATTGCGGTGGTTGATAAGGGGATGGGAGTCCTGGATAATCATAACCTGTTTTAGGCGGTGCGGGAGGTCTTGGGGGGAAAGGTGGTGCGGGAGCTGGAGATTGCGGTGGTTGATAAGGGGATGGGAGTCCTGGATAATCATAACCTGGTGTTTTGGGTGTTGAGGGAGGTCTTGGGGAGAAAGGTGGTACGGAAGTTTTCGATGACGGTGGAAAAGGTGATGGTGCTGGATAATCATAACCTGGCGTTTTAGGTGGTGAGGGAGTTGTCGGTGGCTGTGATGATGGAAAACGTGATGGTGGTGTTGGATAATCATAACCTGGTGTTTTGGGTGTTGAGGGAGGTCTTGGGGAGAAAGGTGGTACGGGAGTTGAAGTTTTCGGTGACTGTGACGGTGGAAAAGGTGATGGTGGTGTTGGATAATCATAACTTGGTGTTTTGGGTGTTGAGGGAGGTCTTGGGGAGAAAGGTGGTACGGGAGTTGAAGTTTTCGGTGACTGTGACGGTGGAAAAGGTGATGGTGGTGTTGGATAATCATGACTTGGTGTGTTGGGTGTTGAGGGAGGTCTTGGGGAGCAAGGTGGTCCGGGAGTTGAAGTTTTCGGTGACTGTGACGGTGGAAAAGGTGATGGTGGTGTTGGATAATCATGACTTGGTGTGTTGGGTGTTGAGGGAGGTCTTGGGGAGCAAGGTGGTCCGGGAGTTGAAGTTTTCGGTGACTGTGACGGTGGAAAAGGTGATGGTGGTGTTGGATAATCATGACTTGGTGTGTTGGGTGTTGAGGGAGGTCTTGGGGAGCAAGGTGGTCCGGGAGTTGAAGTTTTCGGTGACTGTGACGGTGGAAAAGGTGATGGTGGTGTTGGATAATCATGACTTGGTGTGTTGGGTGTTGAGGGAGGTCTTGGGGAGCAAGGTGGTCCGGGAGTTGAAGTTTTCGGTGACTGTGACGGTGGAAAAGGTGATGGTGGTGTTGGATAATCATGACTTGGTGTGTTGGGTGTTGAGGGAGGTCTTGGGGAGCAAGGTGGTCCGGGAGTTGAAGTTTTCGGTGACTGTGACGGTGGAAAAGGTGATGGTGGTGTTGGATAATCATGACTTGGTGTGTTGGGTGTTGAGGGAGGTCTTGGGGAGCAAGGTGGTCCGGGAGTTGAAGTTTTCGGTGACTGTGACGGTGGAAAAGGTGATGGTGGTGTTGGATAATCATGACTTGGTGTGTTGGGTGTTGAGGGAGGTCTTGGGGAGAAAGGTGGTACGGGAGTTGAAGTTTTCGGTGACTGTGATGGAAAAGGTGATGATGGTACTGGATAATCATAACCTGGCGTTTTAGATGGTGGTGTTACTTTCGTTTGTGGATAAAAGTCATAATCATTTGGTTTGAATGATGGAACTGTTGGTCTTTGTGAAAAATAAGGATATGTTGGCTTTTCTGATGGGAAAAATGGTGATGGCGCCGGTGTTCTTGCTGTTGTAAATGGCCCACTTGATCTGTCATAAAACGGTTGAGTTTGAGATGGCAGCGTAAATTCATTATTAGGTCTTGGATAATTATATCCTGTTGAAATCTCTATTGGTGGCTTTGTTTGAATTGTTCTAAAAAAAGATATTATATCTAAAAGTAATCATTTTAATTATAAATATTATATCTTATAAATGCTTTAATATAATGATGTAAATTACATCACTATTTTTATAGAATATTTAATATTAATCAAACTCTTACGATGGTGATATAGTTGGCCTTGTTTGAGTTGTATAACTTGGTGTACGTATTGTTCCTGGTGGATATGTAACTCTTCCATCATGTGTTTGATATTTTGTAGTTTTTGTCGGTAGAGTTACCGGTGGTATAGTTGTTTTCAATGTTGTTCTGTACAAGAAACATATTTATTGGTAACGATAGAAATATATTATAATTTAAAGTTTACATCAAAAGTAACAATAAAAATATTTATATAACATTTTATATGCTATTTTTATTTAACTCGTACTGATATGTAAGAATATAAGATGATGTACGCGGCATTATTAATCTGATGAATATGTATATGTAGGTATCCTTATAGGACGTTGAGCGATGGTTAATGTATAAGATGTTCTGTGTGACGGAAACATAAAATTTTTCTTGAGTAGTATATGCGAATATCAGTGGTGATTTTGAATTTATAGTTAATTTACGGAGAATATATATGTAGTATATTATGTTTGACAATTGTAATCAACATGTTATATACGTTTATTTGTCTGGATGATAACATAAATGATCGTACAATGTTTTAGATATAATTTCAATGATCAATTCTTACCGCGGTGGTAAAGTTTTCGGTGGCTCATAAATATAACCTCCATTGCTCGCTATCGCTCTTTTGCTCTTCTCACTCGATGCTTGCGCATGGTGTGTGGAGAGCACTGCCACTATTGTGGCAATCAACAAGATTCGCTGGATAAAATACAAATTATCGTTACATTTCATTCAAACAAAACATCTTTATCTGTACACGATATTTTAATTTTTAAATACTCTATTATATTATTTGTATGATAATAACCTAAATTATTGAATGGACTTGAAATATATCAGATCACGGATCATCACGTAATTGATTATAACATGTCGAAAAGCGACTTGGTGGGATTATCTCACGCTTCACCTAAGAACTTACATAACCCGTCTCAACTACGATACACCATCTATGATACATCAGTGATCGTGAAAGGTTCGTCCGTGTGAAATGCATTACATTCATTGATCATTAAGTATTTAATCTACGAAATTTGATCAAACTTCAATAAAAAATTTGTAACATTTTTCTTTTTACATCAATGGAAATATCTTCGTCGTTTCGATACATTAATACGAAAAGTGTCTATCTATTTCAAGATTTTATATTATTATTTATCTATCAAATCGAAATCGTCTCTAATACAATTACAACTGTACATCTTTAACGAACGTTTTTAATTAATCAGATTGTAACAATGCATCGAGGATAATTATCTTTGGTCGAACGAGTATCGCAAATCAGCCGATTGGAAATCACATTGGCCAGAAATTAAAACCGTTTGCGACATCGTAAACGCGAATGATAGTTCTGGCTCGAAGAAACGTCCAGTGACCTTTAGACGCATAATTTATATAGAAGGATCGCAAAGAAGAGAATCTTGGTGTCTTTCGCCAACATGTGAAAGGATCCTCACATATATATAACTGATGTCACGTTCGTCCGACTTGCGGAACAAACGATACAGATCGCAAGGTTACTGTCTCTTCGAAAAAAATTTTTTAAATTTCACACTTTCAGTTAGGATATACGCTTATATTTCTTTTAATTAACCAATTATGAAGTTTCTGGGAAGAGAAAAGATTTCATTAAAGTCCTTGGCGATTTTCAAAAGAATTTTAATTAATGCGAATGTGAAATTTTGCCGTGGATGGATGAATTCATATTTAATTAATATTTAATTAAGGGGAATCGATTTTTTTTTGTTTATGGCGATTTGCATAGATTGTCAGGCATTATATCTTTAAAAACGAGTTACATTTTGATTAGGATCGTTCCTCGCGATTATGGCCAATTGCGAAATTATGGCTTCTCAATCTTTGGAGATATTCGTGAAATTCGAGGAAATCCCGTGTATAATGGGTATATTATGCATATAAAAAAAAATATATTATTATGTAAAAAGAAGAATATAAAATATAGGAAGTCTGATTATGCATATCAAGTCGTTAACGAACTAGACGGATTCTATTTCAAGAGAATACATAATTTCGTTATTTATTAAGAGGCTCGGTGTCCTACCAATTATCGTTCTGATTTATAATGTTACATTAATTCACATTACGTAATGTCCATTATACAGAGAGCAATTATGTTTTGTTGACAAGATATATCCTATGATTAATACCATCAATGGTTTCACGATGTATTTATGCGAGTAGTGCAAACAATTAGACACATCTTAGCGGCCTCACCATTTTTATTTGCACCTAGAGAAAGTTGCAAATTATATGTTCAAAAGAGAGGTCTTCGGGTCTAATGAGAAACCAATATGACAAGAGTTTTCTATGTGTCAGCTGTTCGCACGTTTCGAGGTGCAAAATTATGTCGCAACTGCTAAAAACTAGTTACAATTGCTGTTTAGTTCGCCATGTTACATTAACCAATGACAGCCTAATTTCCAAGTCAGTCC